TTCTTCTTCTTCTTCTTCCTCTTCTTTTCTTGGTGTTTTCAAGACAGAGTTTCTCTGTAGCTTTGGTGCCTGTCCTGGAACTAGCTCTTGTAGACCAGGCAGGCCTCGAACTCACAGAGATCCGCCTGCCTCTGCCTCCTGAGTGCTAGGATTAAAGGTGTGTGCCACCACTGTCCTGCTTTAAATTCAGAATTCTTAAAACCATCACTTTTAAGTGGAGAAAATAATGCCTGTCTCATGCCTTGGGAATGTTATCAGGATCAAATGGACTAACAAGTGCAAAATTGTTATGCCCTCATACTTTGTGTGCTCACAGAAATAAGCATAGGCCTATATGCATTCTGTATCAGTTTTGAAGTTATAAAGGCCGGAAGTCTAGGCCTTTCATAGAATCCAGTTCACCTTCAGAGACTCTTCAGTCTTGGGAATGAGTCCCAGGGTTTTAATACTGGCCACCCATTTGTTGAAAGTCTACTCCACACGCATTATTTCTAATCCTCATAGCTCTCTCTTCAAAGTACATATCATTGTGTACACATAAATCTTGAGTGACTGAGACTGAGGTGTTGAGTATCTTGCTTGAGTAGATGACATAAAGAAGATGATAAACCAGGATAGCAAATTTGAAGTCTGTCCAGAGGTTTGAATTTGGTAGGAACAAAATGCTAAATAAAAATGTTACGAATTATATTGATCTGCTTGAAAACTTACTAATTTTTAGAGAGAGAGAGAGAGAGAAAACTAGCCTGTAAGTCTAACCCCAAATTTTGCACCTTAATTACTCTTGTACTAAGTGCTGAGTCTACATTTCTACTTTGCCCCTTAATGGGAAAAAAAGACATGAATAAAGAGATGAATGTCACATACAGAATGACATTGTCAGATCCTGCCAAAATCAACATATCCATGAGATGGTCTGAGCTTGTGTTTCCACTGACCCTTGTCCCGTTCACCTTTGACAAGGGGCTACCCGTCCTCCACTGAGGTTAGGACAGAGTGCAGAGCAAAGGGCAGACTTCGTGGCAGAAAGGGACACATTTGGCTCGGTTACTAAACCCTCTGCCTGCCATCCTCCTACCAGACTTCCTGCTTAATCTTTATTTAAGTCCTTTGAACAAATGTCCAACAAGGCAAAGATGCCAGCTGGATACAGGATGGAAACTCTGTTGGGGAGGGACAGCCTGTCTTCAGGTAAGAATCTTGTTGAGTCACCCTGCTTCTCTACACCAGACCTGTGGGGTTTGGATGAGAAAGAACATAGCAGGTTGGGAAGAGGGCGGATGCCGGAACAGAGCAGGTGGGCGTGTATCCCAACTCTGCCATATTCACTTTATATCTAAATGAATTACTTAACTTTTCTGACTTCACTTTTCATCTCTAACGGAGGATCATCTCAAAGAGTCATTAGTAATATTATCTGGCCTTATCTGGCCCATGTGAAAGGCTCAACACACTGACTGACCTATCGAGTGTATACTAAATGTTGCCATTAGAAGGTGATAGATGGAGAGGTCGGGTGGAAAAGGAGATGTACACATTTTCACCTTTAACTGGAGCAATCCTGCAGTGGCCCAGGTCAAGCATCATGGCTCTGGATGGACCTAAAGCCTTATACTCTATGTTGAATGGTCCCAGTGTCACCTAGAAACACTTTTCTTGATTCCTTGCCACAATGGGACCAGATTGGGCATGCTTCAGACCCAAGAATTCCCCAGGAATGGTCTCACCAACCCTCGTCTGACCTTTGCTAACACACTCTTGTCTCAAATGGCAGTGTGGGAGCCAACCAATTACATCTACCTTGAGCTGCTTTAAAGCACGTAGACCTGATTTCAGTCTGGAGAACTGGCACTCTTGGATAGGGGCCAACCCCTTATCACTGATGATCTTGAGGTCCAGAGATAGGTGCAGCCAACTCAAGACGGGGCAAGAGAGGAAGGGATGGTGCTTAAGTGAAAGAGTATGTCTGTCTGAGCGTTCCTATGCGAGCCTCATCCACCATGCACAGGCCAGATCCAGCCACTAAGGTACTAACAGACTACAATCCTAGTTCTACAAGCTTAATTCTCCACAAAAGAAAATCCTGGTGACATTTTCTGACAAAGAGAATAGTTTTTCAAGTTTTCCCTTAATGACTGTGTGTTCTTCTTATCTGGATTGTCAACTAAAGCTTTCCCCTAAGACCTTCATGGAAAGAGAAATGTGATCTCAAATTCAGAATATTTACGAATAGTATGGACCACTGAGTAAGACACAGTAATCGTCACTAAATTGTCTTAATAGAGCATAGATTTTGGTAAGATTGTGACTGGCAGACGGTTCAGTGCAAGGTATAATATGATCCTCATGGGTTCATCCCAGGGACACCAAGAATCTCATTATTTACCTTTAAACCTGACAAGAGAGAATGGGCTAAATAAAGTCCCTAGGGACTAGATAGATGGCTCAGTACTTTGGATCACTTCCTGCTCTTCCAGAGGACCTGACTTCAGTTCCCAGCATCCACTTTGAGCAGCTTACAACTACTTTTAACTCTAGTTCCTGGGGGGACCCAACATATTTATGCATACACACCCAGTCTCCCACATACATATAATTAAAAAAATAAAAATAAATCTTAAAAAAAAACCAAAAATACTTGGTGGCAAGGGTTATGTGGGTTTGTGCCTGTTGTTTGTTGACTTGTTTGTTTGGGGTGTAAGTTAGGGATTCACATAAAAGTCTTAGGCTTTGCATTAGAGATGTCTTCCCCTCTGAGGATAGGGACCATAGAAAAGAATGGGAAATAGATACAGATGCAAAGACCTAGGACTCCCAACACAAGGCACTGAGCACAGGGACGCTCCCTTTTCTTCTTAACTTCAGGGGAGATGAAGTGACTCTGGGCTCATGAGTATAAAACTGCTGTGGAAAATGCTCTTGTATACTGTAAAGATTTGTCATTCGTATTGGTTTAATAAAACGCTGATTGGCCTGTAGCCAGGCAGGAAGTATAGGTGAGACAACCAGACTAGGAGAATTCTGGGAAGAGGAAAGAAAGAGACAGAGTGTTTTCCAGAAGCAGAGGAAGCAAGATGAAAATGTCTTACTGAGAAAATGTTCCAAGCCACATGGCTGAACATAAACAAAAGTTATAGGTTATTTAAGTTGTATGCGCTAGTTAATAATAAATCTGAGCTAATAGGCAAAACAGTTTACAGTTAATATAAGCCTCTGTGTGTTTCTTTGGGACTGAATGCCTGAGGGACCAGACAGGACAGAAAGTTCCATCTACAACCTCAATGCCTAACCCCAACTCCATTTCTAGATTTCTATGGAATTTTAAAAAGGTATGTTAACCTTTCTGAGGTTTATTCTTATCTACAAAAATGCAGATTCTTCTCACTCCACAGTTAGCTGGAAACAATCAAACAGCATAATGTATACAAAAGTGCTCCATCAACTTTTAAGGTGCCACCATATTTATTCTGGAAGTGATCACAAAGTGTCACCCCAAATGCCCTCTCACCTGCTGATGGATTTAGATTGAGGGCATGTGGGGAGCAGCAACAAAGGAAGGGAAGAGCTTCCCTTATCTGCGTGGAGGAGACAGATTTTCAGAGTGGAGCTGGATGGGCATGAACCCATCCTGGGAATGTCATCAGAAGATGAACTCAGGCAATAAGGAAAAAATAATCTGGAAGTTGATATCATGTCCACGCAGACTGTGGCATCACTTACTGCTTTTAAGGTTCATTCATTTTCCCCACAGATCACTTAATTTGCTATTGGTTCGTCTATATCCTTCCTGCTTGCTCTCCTATTAAGATGGTACTTGAACTTCTAGATCATAGAGCCTTGAGGTCTTCACTTTTCTCTCCTATGACAACCCTATACACATATTATATTAACACACCTTCTATCTTCTTAATATGTTTGCTGTTGGTGTACTCTATAGACTCAGCTATAGTGCCCTCAAATGACTGAAGGAAAAGCTTCCATCCACACAGTTCCTAATATGCAAAAGTCCACTATCTAATAAGCCTAATGCACAGGTCCTATTCCACAACAGATGATAAAGATTTTGAGGCATAGCTTTTGTTATTTTTTATTTACTCCTAATACAATGTCACACCCATAGGAAAGGTTCCAAGACTGGTGCTAGCCAACACTGATCATTTTCTCATATACTGCACCCTTTATCTTCCCAAAGAACTCTTTCTGCTATGGTTTAAGTTTCAGCCTGGATCTTAATCTTTGGGAACACTTTCCTATACAGCAAATATTTCACAAGACATGACAGCATGAATAACCATCCCTATTCATCTGCTCTCCTTTTCTGCAATCAGCAGGAGTTATGTCTTGGAAGACACAGCTGTATGAGTTAGGATGAATGGTCAAGAGAGGAGAGGGCAAGAAAGAGGAGCAAGAGAAATAAGTAGGAAAGACAGAGGAGATGCACTAAAAGGAGCTCAGGTGTGCCAGGGAGAATAGAGAGGCCCTCAGCTGAGAAACATTTTTAAGTATTTGCTTCTAACAGAGAACACTTTCCCTTCCCCAGCACACAGGGCTGGTGGTGTTGTCCTTAGAGTGTATAGATTTCAGAATATCAGTCCTCACTTGCTTAGATAAATGGGGAATCATAGAGTAGCATCTCTACCTGGATATGGGAAACCTTTCATTCTGGTATGGTGTTGGGAGGAGTCAGGACCTCTGACCACCAGGGCTGGGTTTCTTGCTCGAGAAGCAAAGCATAAGTCTTTGTGTAACCTGGCCATGGTTAATGTGTTTCAGCTACAGCCTGCCTTAAATTCAGAAGTTCTTTGAAGAAAAGCTTACGGGGGGGGGGGGGGGAATTTTTTTTTTTACCACCAGGCTCTGACTGCAGAGCGCTCTTGGCAACTGCGGTGATGGATGAGTCACCAGCGTGGTTTCCAGTGGATTCTTCCACTCGGGGAACAGCAGCGGTGGCATCAGCACACCTCTATTTTTGGCAGGTCATGTTTGGTGTCAGGGTTTCCTGTCATGTGCCTTGAGCTCTTAGTCCTTCTTGACATGCGCTCTTCTCAGTGTTGGTATATCTTGGGCCTGTCAAAAACACCTCAACAACACCAACAACCAATGGTGTTAGAAATGAGGTTAGAACATTTCAGGTTCTATTTGATTCCTTTCTTGCTAAAATCCTCTGCAACAGATACTTGGACCAAATGCTGGCAGCGAGGCTTCATCCTGAGCACCACACAGGCTCCATCCATGGTAGTTTCTCTGCTCTTGTGGGGGACAGGATCATGCTTTTTCTGTTCTCTTTCCTGCTAATGGCAGATGTAAAGTGATGGGCTCTTGTGTGTTTCCAAAGATGAAACAAACATCCAACAGTAGCATCTGCTGGAGAAGCAGGATCCTTAGTCTCACCCGTTGAGCTCAAATTTTAATAGGACCCAGGGTGATGTGCATGAGGGGTGAAACTTAGTAATCACCAAGCTAAGCTACCACCAACCACACAGCTCCAGAAGGAGCAGCTGAAGTCCCACGAGCTGGAGAGGCCTGAGTGTTGACGCTATGCCCCATCTCTCCTGGGCCAGAGAAAAGGAAGGCTCTCTTACATCAGCCCCTCCCCCTGTCCTGCCACTCATTCAAATAATTTGGCATGAGATGCTTGCCTGACATTTCATTGTAGGCCTGACTTCCTACCAGGTGGCCTGGACTGCCAGCAGGCTCTGGGCAGGACCACATGGGATACAATTTGGACTCACTGAGTCATCACAGATCTTAGAAGTCATGTCCTTATTTAAATGACACGCCTACGGATGGGTGCTTATAGTGGTATCAACTCTTGTTCAGAAAAGGTGAAGGAGGGTGCAAGAAAAAGTAAAAGGATGGAAGCCTGGCAGCTAAAATGGAATGGGCCGGGACGTCGCCTTGGAAGGCTGCCTCTCCTTTCCAAACACTGAGGATTTCATTGCTTTACCCATTTCAGTAGCTTTTTATTTGTAGGGCGTTATTCTCATTTTCTCGATTGTCTTCCTAATCCTCATTCTGTTTATGAGATGCTTTCTTATTCATTTCCAGAGCTCAGCAAGCTTCGTTGGGGGTGGGGGTGGGACTAGGGGGGTGGTGGGCATTGAGCTGGAGAAGTGCTTATCTACCTAAACTTCCCATCCCTAGAGTTCCAAATCATCAGTCATTCCCAGGAGATCTAAACTCTCTGAGTG